GGGCCCCGGGGGCCCCAGGGGCTCGGGGGGCCACAGGCCTCTGGTTGAAGTGGCTGTTAAAACTTCCCACAGTCCAAGTTTATCAGTGTTGGTCTCTTGTTTTTATTCAACCAACAGTCAAGACCGTAAAATGTTCCGTTTAATCTCATGTATGACAAAGAAAAAAGGTCCAATCTTCACATTCGAGAAACTCAAATCAGAAAATATTTGGCATTTTTGACTGTAAGATGATAAACAATGAAATCGATAATAAAACTAGATGCTGATTAAAATTTTTTAAATAGAATCGACAAATCGATTAATTGCATGATCGTGTCGGTTTTAGTCAATTTCCTCCCATGTAATAAAGCTGCATCATACTTAAAAAGTGCTTCAGGTTTATTATGATGCAATTCAACAAGCTAAATATAATTTATCAGTTAATCAGTGACAGTAAAATGTTGGAGGATGCAGTGAAAACCACGACTCAGTCATATTATTGTTAAATATATTGTAGGAAAAACAACTAAAATGCAACAACAAATTACATTTTTTCCTTTGTCAAAGACCAAATGAAGAGAATTACAGGTGTGACACTGACCTACAAAATGTGGAACTGTTCCTTTAAGTTCACCACTTTAGATGACTGCATGGCGATCAATAACCTCCTCAATAGCAATAACATTCTCAATCAGGGAAAGAGGCCCCATGTCTGGGTTTGCCAAGGGCCCCCAAAACAAACCCTCAAATTACAGTGCTCCTGTGTTTATTACCCCCCGGCCGAGTGGTGCCATCTTCCAGGAGCTGTGTTTATTATATGTGGCGGGCGTCTTCTGTTGCACAGGTAATATATATCCTCACATCCAGCGTGTGAGGCCCAGCAGCTCGCTGAGTCCACAACCTGAGGAAATTAGGAAAACCGAGGCATCGAGTGTTTTGATGGAAACTCTTCCTGTTTCATGTGGGATGGAGTTCAGAGTCACACGGAGGCTTTCTGCACGCCGGGCCTCGCCGTGTGTTAACGAGTCACACGGGTTCAGTTCAAAGAGAAGCTCCCGGTGTGGTCACAGCGTGCGTCTCTGCTCGTCCTCGCACAAGCATCCCTACACTCGGCGCCGTGTTCGTGTTGCGTTTTAGATATAGCTTCCATGTGTACCGTAAAGTCTTAATGAACAGACACAAGCCGGCATTGTTCGAGAGCAGCACCCCCAGAAGTCGGCACATGATTCTCTGTCACGTTTACATTTTCTTTAAATAGTAACTCAATCCTGCTCCCAGTCTGCAGTGTTTATTACAAGACAAGTTATTTAGGTTATTTTGAATCTGTGATGCATAATCAAGCTAAAACAGATCGATAAGTTTCTCCTTAATCATATTTTTTCTCTTTATTTGATCATAATTTTTCTAAATTTATCAAAGAAAAGTTCGATTACAGCTGCAAGTTCAATGTCGGGCTGCAGCTAAGGATTATGTTCATTATCAGTTAATGTGCAAATTGTCTTTTCAAGTAATTGTTTTGTCTATAAAATGTCCTTTATAATTTCCCACACTGATGTTTTCATATTGTCTGTTTTGTCCAACCAACCGTCCGAAACCCAAAATATTCACTTTACAATCATATAAAAGAGAGAAAAGAAGCAGATCCTCACCTGAGGAGCTGAAAACAAACCAACTCTAGAAAAGTTCACATGTATGAAAAAGGTAATGATGAGATGCAGGTGTGATATTGTTACTGTGCCGATACAGTCAGGTCAAACTAATTATATTTATTTAATCCAAAATCACAAACCATAAATTACCTTTAACGAAAGGTCTTTCCAGCAGCATCTGACTCTCTACCTTTAGACTCTTAGTTATTACAGTTCGTCATAATATCGTTAAAGTCCATCAGATTAACAGTAGAACAAAATGTTATTTCACTGTTAAACTGTCTTATTGTTTCTTGTTTGTCTCTAGTCGACCACATCCTGGATTTCATAAACCAGCCTGTGAGCGGCCTCGACGGCTCCCACTCCCAGTTCCCCCACATGCCTGACTTTTCACAGGTCACCAGTGACGCCGTCCAGGGCAGCGGAGACGTCGACTCTCCGGAGGCTTCACCCATCAACCTGCCTCCGACCGTCAGCTTTGTCAACGGAAAACATGAGGTACTGTCCACACGCTGGAGCGTTTTTAAAGAGAATACTGGTTTATTTCTATTTCACTGATGAATTTAACGCTGACAGAAAGACCGATTCCTCTTTATTTACTCGACTACTACTTTTCTGATCCGACCAGGTGACATTTGAGCCGGAGCAGCCAGAGGAAGCCAGGGGTGATCAGTTTGAAACGGCTACACCTGTTCGGGTAGAAGACGTGGAGGTGGAGGAGAAGGAGGAGAAGGAGGAAGAGGAAAGCACGACTCCTTTTGACTACAATCTCTTAGAGATCCACACAGAGGAGACGCCCACAGAGGAAACCAGTGATGCCGTCACTCATTCTGCAGATTTGTACCCAGATGAAGTTACAGATTCGGGTACGGATGCCGATGCGGACTATGACAGAGTCAGAACCCAAGAACCAGATGATCAGACCACCACCACAACCGCCTTCACACACCCTGTTTCATCACCAGCACCTAGCACACCGTCAGGCCCGGTCCTCCCCGGTGTCTCCCAGCCCGTCACTGCTGCGGTCTTCGTCTACGAGGACATGGAAGGTTCTGCAACCGCTGGCCCTGACGGTGCTGCGCAGGAGGGCTCTGCGGACGACGCCGTGCCCACCCCTGCCGCAGACGGCCAGGTGAGCGTGATGACTGACGAGGCCGAAATCGGGGGTCCCGAGCTTCCTACGTCGACCCCAGACACGCGGTCACAAGAAACCACCACACAGACCCAGACTGAAGACTCTGAAGGTTCAGCCTCTGGAGAAGACGAAGCTTCAGGGCAAGACCCACCGGAGACGCCCAGGCTTACCAGCACGCTACCACCCATCCATTCTACCTTTCACACCCAGAGGCCTCAACCTGCGGCGGGTTCCGAGGTCACAGAACTCCCTGTGGTTTCACCGGCTGTTGACACGAGTTCAGAAACAGGTTCAGGTGCAGAGCAGCTGTCCGGCGACGGGGAGGGTTCTGGGGAAAGGGACAATCTGGTTGACCTTCCCGGAGAGGTCGCCGTCACGGTTTTACCAGCTGCGGCAGCTGTTGAAGAGCAAACCACACTCCGTGCACACATAAAGGAGGTGACCTCTGAACCCAGCACGTCAGAACCCTCCACGCCTGCCTCCCCTGCTGCCACAGACGATAAGAAACATCCCGCTGTTACCACCGAGCCTGCACCCACGACCTCCGACGACCACACCACGCACCCCGCCGAACCTTACAGAGACCAGACTGAACAGTCCACCACAGGTTCCACCACAAGTTCCACCCCGAGTTCCACCACGAGTTCCACCACAGGTTCCACCACAGGTTCCACCACAGGTTCCACCACAAGTTCCACCACAAGTTCCACCCCAAGTTCCACCACGAGTTCCACCCCAAGTTCCACCCCAAGTTCCACCCCAAGTTCCACCACAGGTTCCACCCCAAGTTCCATCACGAGTTCCACCACAGGTTTCACCACAGGTTCCACCACGAGTTCCACCCCAAGTTCCACCACAGGTTCCCCTAAGTACATAAGCCAGCCAGCCCTGTCTACCACCTCGCCCTTATACACTTTTGACCAAAGCACCCACTCCGTCCCTGAGTGGGCGCTGCTCCCCGACCCGGCCGCCACCCCTCTCCCAGAGGATTTTGAAGACTATGACAAAGAGATCGTCCCCGCTCTGGTGGAGACGGCCCCTCGCAGACCGGAAGAGACCGAGGCCACGGAGCAGCCAGAGACCGGCACTGTCTCGGCTTATTCTGTGGAGGCCAGCACGGTGAACATCAGAGGTAGGTTTTAGGCAATATTTGAGGCATTTCCGGTTCTAGTATCAGTATCAGAACTATTATTATATCTTATATTATGGCAGGAATTGCAGATTTTTTTCTCTCTTTTGTGATATTAAATTGAATATCGTTGGGTTTTGGCCTGGAGAGGTTTTGGAAACTGATCGTGAGAAAAACAAAACAAAAAAAAAAAGAATGAAGCAATTTATCAAAAAAACAAACAGAAAAAACTTAAAAGCTGCAGGTGGCTACATACAGTACGTGATATCATAATAACGCACAGAAGCTAAAGCTGAGTTAGCATCATCTTGCAAATAAAAGAACAGCATTTTTTTTGTATTTCAGTGTAGATCTAATTAGAATCAAATAAAATGTAGGTTGGACTGTAAAATTTGTTTTATCATACCCTTGTTTGGTACATTTTTAAATGAAATTTTCAAATGGTACAAGAGAAAAGGATTTGAGGGCGATGAGTTTGCTGAATAGCATTAGCATAAACTTTTTTTTTTGCTAGTGTTAAGTTAGCCTAGACTGGCAAGGACAAAATAATGTAGTTAGCTAGCTGCTAATGTTATGCTCCCTGACTTTGGAAGTAACTCAAGGATACTGCTATAGGCAGTAAGCTAGTTAGCTGGTCATGCTAATGTTAGAGCATACAAACTGTTTAATCTATTCCTTACATTTTTACTTTATTGTTTGTATTTTCAAACGGTACAAGAGAAAAGGATTTGAGGGCGAGGACTAACCGACAAGTTTGCTGAATGTAACATTAGCATAAACTTTTCAAAAACCAAACAAAGCAGAAAAGACCCGTTAGTGTTAGCTTAGCTTAGGCTAACGTAATTTGTAACCCCACAAAATAATGTAGGTAGCTAGCTGATAACCTTATGGGCCTTGACTTTTGAAGATTACTACCACTACTGTAGGTAGTAAGCTAGTTAGCTGGTCATGCTAATGTTAGAGCTGACAAGCTGTTCCCCACATTTTTACTTGTGTTTCTGCTTTTGGAAATGCTAAAGTAAACTAGCCCTACTAGTGATGTTAGCTAATGGTGCAGCTATTAGTCTGATTTTAATGGGTTTTCATTAGCATTGTGTCTTTTGTGTAGATCTCCTGCCGTGCACAATCAGTGTGTGTCAGAACGGAGGCTCCTGCTACAGGAGGGGAGCACAAAATATCTGCATGTGCGCACCTGGATACACCGGACAGCTGTGTGAAACAGGTACACACACACACATATATAACACACAAAGATGGGTCATCTCGTGCACTCTGACCCCACACTGACAGACAGAGGATGTGGAATAATGCCGGCTTGTGTTGTGCGTCTGCAGATGTTGACGAGTGCCAGTCCAACCCGTGTCTGAACGGAGCCACCTGTATGGACAGAGTCAACTCCTTCACCTGTGTGTGCCTGCCCAGCTACGCAGGAGAGCTCTGTGAACACGGTGAGCTACACTTTAATACAATGAGTCTTACTTACAGTCATACGACAGTTAGTCCTGACCAGGTGATGTGATTGGACATGTATCACTCCGCTTTACAGGTGTTCTATTAACCGTTAATCACCGTCACATTAACAGTCGTTATCGACCTTAGATTTTAAGGAACAAAGATGAAAATATTTCCAGATATAACATTTGAATTAAACGTTGTCTGGTCGTCAGCAGAGGATGAAGGGAAGAAGCCTGGACACTTCAGCGCACACCTGAGCTAACGTGTAGACAAGGTAGCAAGGTAGTGTGCACTGTGCAGGTCAGGAACATGTTTATGTGTTGCTTAGCAACAGTCCAGTACCGGTCCAGTTGCAGAGCTATTTGTGTTGGCGTTAGGGTTAAGGTTAGTCAAATAAATGATAAAATAAACCAATAAATTATAATCTGTTGTTGCTTATTTTAACATTATGACGTCGTAGAACTGTTGTATAAAAGTAATATCACACTCGAGGTCGTGATGTCATCCTGAATATCAGCACGGCTGTGATTCGGTCACAGGTACGACGCTGCAGGATTAAATAGTTTTCAGCATCATTTCTATTGATCACTGAAATGACTGCAGAACAGATCTGTCACTTTTAAAAACTAAGACAGAAGAGAGAGAAAGAGACGAATAAAGACACAACCCATAAACTGCTTTGTAGGACTGACACTGTTCAGTTGTCCACACCCGTGCACACACCGACACATGTGCACACAGGTGGACACAGCTTGTGGTCTCTGCTCCTCAGCTGTCCTCCAACGCTGGGCGTCGGCTCCTCTGCAGATTACTTCCAGCCGCTCGTCCAATATTTCTGTCATTACTCAGCAGCTAATCGAGGTTCAGGCAAACAAAGAGACTCCAAGGACAAATATTTTCCATGAAGATTTACCAGCTTTAGTGCTGAGAGTTTAACGTCGCTCATATTATTCTAAGAAAATGAAAAAATGAAGTGATAACGCCAAACTCTTTTTTTTTTTTATAGGGCAGTTCAGTTGTTGCTGTGAAGTCGTAACATTGAACCACTGGACGAAAACACACTGTCCATCAGTTCAGCTGCTTTTACTGACACAGTTAATAATAAGTACAGTATCATTTCTCAAGCAGTAAAAATTAATTGTTAAAGTTCTAAAGTTTCTTCAGTGAACTTGAACTCAACACTTTCTTTCAGCTCGCTGGCTGTTACCAAGCTGAGAGCAAACAGTAATACAGCTACTTATATGATCACAGCATACACACATCTATATATGATCAAATGACTCTAAATATGTAATTAACTGCAGTTTAACATGATTTCTTTCCTAGTTTCAGAGGTGAGGACGTTCAGGTCCTTTACTAAACTAGACTTATTGAAGAAAGTATAGTGATAATAAATGAGGTAATCCTGAATGTAATAATAGAAAGAATAATAATAGTAATAATAGAACAATATAATGATAATAAAAATTATATAATGATAATTTATATCATTTATTTGATATCCTGTCGATGTAATGGTGATATATCTCACAACAAAGATATGATAAGAATATAAAATAGTGTTAAATAACATGATAATACTGTAGTGATACTATGACAACCATCATATACAGTGGGATACAATATGTATTATTTATTATAGTATATATTTACATAAATGGGTGATTTAATTTATAGTATATCAGCAGGGCACAAATATAAAGTGGCATTGAATTAAAATACTTCATCAGAATGAACTTTCTAGTTACTTTCCAACTCTGATCATTGAAGGTTAAACTATTCATATTTTATTGGAAAATCAATAAAACATTTTCCTGAACAGTGAAATCATTAGATGAATATTCTTGGAATAATTTTAGTTTTTGTCCTTCATGAGAGTAAAAATGGAAAATATGAGATTTTGAGTGAAAAAACGTTTTTATTTCCAGGCTGATCGAGCTTCTTTGTCTCGTTTCTACGCCTCTTTTCATCATCAGCCCTTTTTCTAGAAGGTGTGGTGAATAAGACGCTGAAATCCCAGTCTGCAGGGTGGATCCACGTGTATCCATGTGCAGCCCGCACAACATATGAATTACTGGCTGCAGCAGTGTGTAGTTTACACATCCACATACATGCAGTAGTTAGCAGTTAGCAGACAGAGCAGCAGAGACACATCTGTCCTCTCACAGATTTCTGCCAGTGGAAAAAAAGAAAGGGAGAATAAACAGATAATTGCTGGATTATCTGGCCACAGAGCTTTTGCAGCTGTGTGCCATTGAATCGTTCCTGCTCCGGCTCAGTCCGTCTCTCCGTCATCTTCTGGATGAGGCAGTGTTTGGGCCGGCCTCCTGCACGCACCCTGATGCCCTCCATATATCAGAGCAGCGCTGTGCTGTTTTCAAACTGCCAGAAGCAAGAGTCCGGGAATACAGCTCTGCATTTATTAGTGGGCACGGAGACCTCACCTGACCCTCCAGGTGGCTGCACGGCGGGGTTATAAAGACGAGGCGGGGCTGGCGACGGCTGATGCCCCGAAGCCTCGACAGCAACTTTCCATCACTGCTTCATTGGCACGCGCTTTATTCTGAAGGGGACTGATACAAAACGTCCATTGTTTACTGAGGCAGACAAAGCAGAGGGGCTGATTATACGGCTTACACTCATTGTACATCAAACTAAATGTGTGTGTTGTGCATTAAGTGTGTGTGTTAATGTGTTTGTGTTGGTCTGACCTGCAGACAACTGGAGAGTTGTGACAGTTAATGAAGTCCAACTGTGTGTTACTGAGCTCATTCAGTGAGGGGGCCATTATTCCCCAGCTGGCCCTCGGCTCGCTCTCTCTCTCTCTCTCTCTCTCTCTCTCTCTCTCTCTCAGTTGTTGTGTAGCTTCAGCATGGACTCAAATCAGCTTTAAACAACATTATAATCAAGTTAAAAATAAGCAGCATAAAGACCCTTGTTCCAAACTGAGCTGTTGATGTCTGAAGAGTGCGCTTGTTTCTCTGACATTTGCAAAATGGCTGCTAAAATTCTTCTGGTTGGTCACTCAGAGTCTGCGAGGCGTTGCTCAGTGTGTTTTCATACGTAACCTGTTTGGGTGTGTCTGGTGTGTTTGTGTGTTTAGTTCATTTACGTGTGAAAACCGTCGGTCAGACTCTTTTTCTGTTTGTATTTATATTGATTCATTAAGCCCAAAGTGAGCTGCAAACGAATCCAGTGCCTCAACGCAAAGCTGCAGGTGCATTAATAACATGTAAGTACTTTGCAGGTGAGCGCCAGAGAAAGACGGAGAGAGAAACGGCATAGAAGGAGAGCAAGGTTTCTTAAACAAGAAAAAAGACCTGCAGGCCTCCTTCCACCGATCTCAGTCGTCGGTCGGACACTCACCAGTCTGCACGTCGGTTGGAGATTTCCTGCCTTGCAGTGACAGCAGGACAAGTCGTCGCTCATTTGCATCGTAGTGAACAGAGGGCTCGTACACCTGCATGGGGGCGCTCAGGTAGGCGGGGGCTGTGCAGCAACAGGAAGCCAGGAGAGAGCAATGAAAAGTGGAGTGACATGAGCTGCCTCTGGCTGGATGAAGACCAGATGTTCTGCTGCTGCTGCTGCTGCTGCTGCTGCTGCTTTTTGGACCGTGTGCAGAGGCTTTAATGTGCAGGCTGCAGCTCTGCCAGAAGGGCGTCACCGTAGTGAAGGTCAGAGACGACCAGAGGCTGTGAGAGGAGCAGAGAGCTGATCTTTGGGATGTTAAACAGGGAGAACTGACCTGACTGAGTGACTGGAAGTTTTTTGATTATCAGTTCCCCAATAAAAAGTGAAAGACATAACGATCCTCCTGTAATATTATGGTACACAACGTTCCTATCTCTATTCGGCAGTATCTATGATGCATGAGGTTCAGTTGAAGTCTGAAATAATAATTCTCATCATCAGTTACTTCTTCATGAGCTCTGTAGAGAACATAAAGACTCATAAAGTGCAGCATTAAACTGCCGTCAGACACCAGAAACTGATTTCCCCATGTGGCTCCATGCAGCTCTGATGGTGCAGGACGACATCACAAAAACTGTGCAATCAATGAGCTTCCTGCCTGCTCCACGTGACTTCGTATTTGCACCTGTATTGTAGTAAATCAGTGTGAATGCAGCCTGATTGTTGTGGTGTTGCTAGGTGGTTGTTTGGTCTTAGATGCTAAGTGGTTGCTAAGGTGTTACCTTGGTGTTTCTAGGTGGTTGCTATGTGGTTGCCACGACTTTCCAGGCAGATACTGAGGCTTTAGTAGGTGGATTAAAACGGTTGCTATGGCAAAGAGCGTGCTCTGTTTTACAGACTGTAAACTGTTTAGTAGATAATGAGTTAATAAAGAATAAATCAGCACCAGAAGTAAATATTACTGCAGGCTGATGTTTCTGTCTGATAAGAAATGTTTGCTTTTGTGCAGATGTCTGCACAAGTGACTCGAACTTTTTATCATGAACAGTTCTCTAACTGTTGCTCTGTCTTCCCCCCTGCAGACACCGAGGTGTGTGGATTTGGTTGGCAGAAGTTTCAGTCTCACTGCTACAAGTACTTCACCCACCGTCGGACCTGGGACGCCGCTGAGAGGGAGTGTCGTCTGCACGGAGCTCACCTGGCCAGCATCCTGTCGCAGGAGGAACAGCTGTTCGTCAATCGTAAGTCCGTGACGTGGCGTTTGAGCTACGACTCCTGATGTGACGATTTAGGAGGAGAAACTAAAGCTACAGCTTAACGACTGCTCTCCTAAATAACTGTAGATTGATTTTTTTTACTGACATTTACTGAATAATATTTGGGGCTGTGGCGACACTTTTCATCAGAGTCCATCAAGGAAAGCATCAGATCAATGACACAGGGTCTGAAAAATAATCACATGGTGGCCCAAACTGTTTGCTGCAAACCCCTATTGCATTTTAGAAAACTGTCTCCAGATGTTTAACTTTGACTCATGGTTGTGAAAGAAACATTTATAATATTCAGTGAAGCGTTATATCAGATGTTCTTGGTGCATTTACATGGAATCAACTCCAAAGTTTAGCTACCAGGACAAAACTCTGAGATCAAGGTTGTTAAAAAACTGACTTTGTGTTTAAATGTTGAGACTTCTTTCTGTGCCTCCCATTGATAAACTGAAGTCTAATCGTACGTAAACAAGTCCGTCTGTTAGTGATGCCTCAGCCTCTGTAGGTCAGTGCACTTTAAGAAAACAGCTCCTCCGGCGTCTGTAATCCACCGACGAGTGTTTAGAAGATAAAAGACGCAATAAAACGTTGTCGGTTTAAACAGAGTTTCCACAGAAAGATGAGGCCGACTGTGTCCGAGCAACATGCAGACCGTCTCTCAGTTTATTGGGGAAGCTGCTGACTGATAAAACAGTTTCCTCTGCCTCCTGCGCTTTCATTAGTTCACACTGTTGATTTCTCTCCTGCTGAGGACACACCTTTAAACCACGAATCAACAGACTATCTCCCCTAAAAACACTGGTTTGATCCTGATCGTCTTCGTCCCTTCATCCGTTAACCAGCTGCTCTTCTCCTGCTCTGTTTCCTGACTTCGTTAAAATCTCACACACGTCCCGTCTAATTAATATTCTGCTGTGTTTTCCCCTGTAGGTCTGGGCAGTGATTACCAGTGGATCGGCCTCAACGACAAGATGTTTGAGAGGGACTTCAGGTGGACCGACGGCAGGCCGATGGTAAGACCAGCCCGCAGTTTAATAGAGCTGACTGTCTGTTTGTATCTGTGTTGGACGTTAGTGGTGACGTTCACGGTTCCCAGAGGATGAATCATGCTGACTTTGGTGATTTCCTCTAGCGACATCATGTGGTTGACATTTGTGATTTTGAGTGAAATGTCTCGGCAACTATTGGATGGATCGTCGTGACATTTGGTTCAGACGTTGGCGTTCCCCTGAGGATGAACCATGGTGATCCTCTGACTTTTCTTTTTTCAAGAAGCAGACAAGGTGGAAAGTTTTGGGCTGAAACGTTTAGTCGATTAATGACTGTGTCAATAAACAGAAAATGAATCTGTCAAGAAAAAATACCAAATATTTTTCTCTAATTTTAAACTAAATGTCAACGGTTGATCAAACAATCTGAAGATGACTCATTAGACCAGCACATTTTTCACTGTTTTTTTCACATTTAATTTCATAAACAAAGCAATCAATTTAAGTTAATTGAGAAATAATCTGCAGATTTAATTAATAATGAAAACTTTGAGTGACAGGTGGATGATCCTATTCACCGAAGTCTCAGATCCACACAGGCCCCTCCTCTTTGCCCATTTTTGCATGAGTTAGGGGCGGAGTCAGGCACTGCCAAGATGACAACAGTGAAGCAGCTCACTCTGAGCTTCAGAAACCAGTGGGTGACGTCACAGAGGCGGCGTCCATCGTTATTTACAGTCTATGACACAAACAAGCATTAAAATATCTACATTTTATTCAGGAACCAGCAGCTGCTCTTCAACTCTGATGCTTTGAAAATAAGAACATTTTTTTCATATTTTTATTTTATGGCAGAAAAGAAACTTTAAAAACCATCACTTCCTGGGTGCAGCTCTGTCTCCACATCATCGTCTCCTCAGTGTCTTCAGTCACGATGGCTGATCACTGTCACACACACTGAGCGTCTGCTGGGAACGCTCAGCTGTTCAGGCATGTGAGCTGAATCACGCAGTGAAAGTGATGTGAGCTCAGAGCCTGAAACCTGACACCGGGGGCTCTGTTGTTGTAATGTGTTATCATCAGAATAGAGGCAACACCCTTACTGTTGCTGAGATTTTATCCAGAGCAGTTTGTACCTACAGAGAGTGCATGTGTTCTACATGTATGTGTGTGTGCATGTGCAAATTTTCTCTTCTTCTTCTTTTTATACGAACTAAAGGAACTTTATTTGTGCATCTAAAGCTCAGAGAGCTGTTGGTGTCTTTCAAACCTGCTGCGCTGATGTTCGTCTCAGCAGCGCGACTCTCTGGTCTCTGTGAGAATTACATCCAGCCACATGTGTTCAATAATCACCGTCTCCTCTTGGGGACGGGCAGCGGTTCCCTGTGTTTGAGCTGTATTGACTGTGGCAGGGAAACAATGAAGCAGTGACCCAGTTTTAACACGTCCATGTATGGATTGGATAATAACTTCATGTTTATTGCAGTATTTATTATTGTTTTAGAGTTTCACCATAAAACTAAAAGCAGTGAAAACTTGTGTTCTGGCAGCAATACGACCACTGGAGGCCGAACCAGCCGGACAGCTTCTTCCAGTCTGGAGAGGACTGTGTGGTGATGATCTGGCATGAGGGGGGGCAGTGGAACGACGTGCCCTGCAACTATCACCTGACCTTCACCTGCAAGAAGGGAACAGGTGCGCACACACACACACACACACAAAGAAACTCTCATTTGTTTAACCCCATAAACTACACATCATGTCTAGATAGATTGATCTCCTGTGTTCCTTTTATCAATTTTTCAATTATTCAAATATGATATTGATGACGGGTCATAAAGCAGTTTCAGACTGAAATGTCTAGAATATTAACTGTGATATGCATTAACATAAAATTTGGATGTTCCCCTCCGGAGGGTTATATAACTTTATATCTATAATATCTCTAATAACTTTGCTGATTCTCTGACTTTTCATCCATCATCAGGCCACATTTTAATTCATCCAGCACTTTGGTTTACGACCCAGTACCTGTTGCACTATGTGCTTACTGCTAATTAGCAAATATAATAATGTAGTAATGTGCTAAACTAAGCTGGTGAACATGCATTAGCTCAGAAGTGTGGCCTCACAGAGCTGCTAACGTGGCTGTAGACTCTTTGTTGTAGGGTTTTATGATCAGCTGTTTGGAAGCCGTCCAACAGTTCTCTGATCTCAGATTGTCCTTTAATGCATCTCCAGGAGGTTTTATTATAAAATGAAAGCCAAAAAACTTTGATAAGAAGCAAATCAGTCACTAATTTAGGAGCTCAGTCTGTAAACTTGTAATACGCTTTAGAAATGTCTGGCAGTGACGTTAAGAACACAATTTATATTTAAATGGCATGACTGTGAACGCAGCACGGCGTTCTGTATGACAAAGTAGAGAAGAAAACTCTGTTCAGCTCAGCAGAGCAGATCTCAGGCCTGTTTCCTGGGTATAAATGGAGTTATTTAAAACTATAAAGTCTCATCCCATTGGTCAATTTTAAACTTTACGTTAATGTTGTGACGTCTGTGTTTGCCTCTGATGCTGTTTGTGCTTTTGTTTGTCTTTGTTTTTCTCTGCCACATTATAACTTTATTAACTATATTTTCCTCCCCTGCAGTGTCATGTGGGCAGCCCCCCGTGGTGAAGGATGCTCGAGTGTTTGGAGCCATGAAGCCTCGATACGAGATCAACTCCCTGCTCCGCTACCACTGTAAACAGGGCTTCATCCAGAGACACAGCCCCACGATACGTTGCCGGGCCCACGGCCAGTGGGACACACCGAAAGTCACCTGCATGAGCCGTGAGTGTTGACGTCGGGGTCTCCAGACCGGAGGACGACATACTGCTCCATAATAACAAGGCTGTAAATTGTTTTCTCTTTTAATTCTTTCCCGTTTTGTCTTTCAGCCGCAACTTACCACAACTCATTTACTCTCCGGCGCCACGGCAACCAGAACAACGAGCAGCAGAGCAGGCATTACAACCACCACGTCCATCACTCCAAGAGTCATCAGAAACACAGTCAAAACCAGGAGCAGCAGCGGCAGAGTTACAACATCCTGCAGAGCCTCTGGAACCCGTTCCAGAACCGAGTCCAGAGGGAGAAGAGGGAACCACAGGTCCAGACACAGAACCAGGATCCCATCAGACACTGATTCTCTTTGTGGGTTTCTATTAATCGGCTTGGCGGCAGGCGGGCCGCGTCAGTGCAGAGGCATCGATAGACAGACGGAGTGATGTACTGAACTGTCTATGGATGGCTCTGAAAAGGACAAAGGGAGACGCTTCACCAGCACACTGTCCACAAACACTCCAGGATCCGAACCGTCACACTCGTGAGAATTTAGTTCATTTGTAAAGTTAGTCTCAGAGCTCTCAACAGGAAGACCGGTGCCTTCATGGCCTCACTGTGTGGTTAACCCAACAGTCAAACACCACACGGGTGGGTGGTCTGTGAAACTCTAGTGAGTCATTGTTCTCTTCTCTGGACTTCTCTGTGAGATCTCACTTTATAGGTGCCCCGTGTGAGTCTCTTTTTCTGTCAACAATCACAGTTGTGTTCAAAGAGAAAACATTGTGCGTTCAATGCATTTCTTTTATCGTTAAACATTAAGCAAAGCAATTTTTTAATTTTTATTTTTTGGAAGAATTTTAAATCTACTAATTGTTTACGTCCGTGAGAGAAACTGTCCAAGAAACGGTGCGACCTTCGAGGCGATGGTCACATGACTGATTAGGAAAGCTAAGCTAGCACTATGGAACATGTCTGTTTGTTTCCTGCTAATGTGAGGAAGGTTTCCAGCCTCCTCGTCATCGCTCCACACACATCTGATGTTTCCTGACATTTTTACTACGTTTGTTTCCGCTGCACTTTGTTGCATTTTTATTTTATTTTCCAGTATTTCCTTCAGATTTTTTTTATGCACAAATCGAAAATACACATAAAAATAGGTGGATGAAAACACAGCTATTGTTATAGAAGCGCAATGCTAAATGGGTGAAATACTCCTTTGGGTTCTTCTTCACTGTTTTACCCTCATACAGTACAAGGAGACAAGCTATCAAGGCTACCAAAAAGTAGCGTATTGATAACTTCAGTGTATCTGTAACCCTTGCCCTGCGAGGTCGTAGCGGTCTTCCTCCTTCATGCTTTTCTTGGTGTTTTACAGCATCAGAATCAGGTTCATCATCAAACAGGTTTTCACATTACAAGGAATTTGTTTTGGTGTTTTTGGTTCATACCAATAAACATAGTAAGAAGAAAAATATAAAGATGGAGCAAAAGCAGGTTCTGCAATTCAGGTAGCTTAAATATAAGTACGTTTTTCATTATAATATTTACATTAATGCATTTCTCCACTTCTTGGCTCGTACAAACGGCATCGGCAGGACTGTGCTTCACGTCCTGACAACCACTATTAAAAACTGTTGCTCTGCAGCGCCTCTAGTGGTCAAAAACTCCTCAGGGCACCTTTAATTTTGAGAAAAATACGGCACATACAAAATGACCAGTATAATGTCAACACAATATTCACTGAAATATCCGTTTATTTTTTCACGAGCTGTAGTCCAGTAGAGTTTAGGATTTAGATGATGTTATTGATCGACTATAAAGACCATGAACGCATCACTTTAAATTATTATCACAGAACATGTCCAGTTTGTCCAGCCTCAGTTCGTGCAGCTTATTACGACCCATATCTTTAACTGGTTGATTTCCCTTGTAGATTTTTGTACAAAATATTTTTTAGCGTAGAAAAAAGGTTTTTAAATGAGGGAGGGGAGATTTAAAGAGTGGCACACAGAGCTGAGAGAGGACAGTAGATTATTATGAATGTGTGGTGTGTGCTGTGGATATTAATCATAGGATATATAATATAGATACTATATGAAGCCATAAGAATTTAACTTATTGTATACTTAAACTATGAATGGACTGTGATATTAAACAAAGGTCATTGGAACTGAAGTGATTCTGTTAATGACGACTTCCTTGCTGTTTACAGATTCTGCCGTGTTGTTTCCTGCAGAGGGAACATCTCGTCGTTTTCAGAGACGTTCGCTGCATCTGTTTTAGCACCGTTAGCTGAGCTGTTGATGCTTTTTCATTTTCGCTGTGACCCGATGAATTCACCACCAAAACGAACATTTTCTACATTTATGAAGTTGGGTTTGTTTTTGTTGTTGTTGTTGTTCTCAGCTTGATGTAGTGTGTTGCTTTGGAAACTGTTTTTAACCCAACAAATAAGGGAATGTGAAATAGACGCATAGAGACGACTTCTGCATCCTCCACGAGATTTTTTTTTTTTTATATGACCCTTATGAATTTTACCTTCTTCTTCCCATGTTTTCCTTTTTATATATTGTTTGTCAGTGTATATGCATTTTTTAAAAATCTTTTTCTACTCCATGTGGTTAGTGGGGTTTACTGTGTCTGTGGCACAAGAGCTTATTTTTATGTAATCATTGTTTCTCTCTCTGTTCAAGTTACTGTAAAAGAAAAAAAAAAGTCCATCATCCTGGTGTCAATGTCGTTGTCAGCTGTGTGTGCAATAATATGAACTCTTATAACTCCACCTGAGCTGTGTGTGCAGTTTTATTTCTGGTGTTCGGTACTTTTCTTGATTGATTTGGGGGGGGGGTCGGTTCACATGTGAGAAATGAGTCCTTCCTCCAGAGGGGGAGAGGGGGAGATAAATGTCCTCGCCAGGTGTGTTCCTTCGTAGACGTTGTAGAGAGCGAAGGCCGAACCCAAAATGAGACAGTCTGATCTACGGAGGATTTTTGCTTTTGGCCAACAGCTGTGCCCGCTCCCTTTACTGTTGCGTCGTGAAGCGCGGCTCCTGTCGCCTAGCAACCTTGACAACAAGTCACTTTCCTTTCTCAAAAACTTGAGGTTTTGAAGGCCGATGGGTTTAACAGTTGTACCGTTAACTGTTGAACTGAGCTGAAACCCAACACTTACATTTCGCAGTGTAATCCTCAGGCTCTCTGTCAGCGTTGTTTGTTGTCATATTGTTTTCATTACCAGCGCGCAATGAATCTTGGGATATGTTGGGCCCGAAGGATCCACCTGTTGGATCCGACGTCCGGGAAAAGAAGGACTCGTTTGAAGGAGCCTCAGAAATGGGACGATCTGGTCTCGCCGCTGTGACGCAATCGGCCTTCAAAAGCAGCCTCTGATGGATGAAGACCCTGAATTGGGACACAGCCACTGAGTGAGGTGAGAGGGACAGGTGTATACAGGTGAGCTAAAAACAACTGGCAAATGACACAACTTTAAAAACCCTTAGTTCCCAGTTCCTGCAATTTGTGTCAACAATCGGAGTCATAACTCAGTCTGTCAGCGTGAGGCTGGTCGGATGTGCCATTGGAGACATTGGAGACGTTTTATGTTGGTAAAATGACCATAGATTTCATGGGCAACAGCTCTGTTGGGGAATCAACATGCCAGTCACTCAAAACATCTTTTTTGTTGGATTGTGTTGTGTGATAAAACTTTTCAGAGTGACCGGCACACCTGAGTAGTTATCACACTGTGTAATCAGCATCTTGATAGGCCACACCTGTCAGGTGGATTATCTTAGCGAAGGAGAAGTGCTCACTAACATGGATTTTAACACATTTGTGAACAAAATTTGAGAGAAAGAAGCTTTCAGTGTGCTGAGTAAAAGTTTTAGATCTTTAATTTTACCTTTTGCAAAATGGGAGCAAAAATAAAAGTGTTGCTTTTATATTTTTGTGTAGTTTTAATTTCCTAAACAGCTGAGCTCGACAGTTTTGATCAAACAAACAAGGAAATTGTTGGGGACTATTTTCAGCGGCAGATTCATTTGATTTAATTTGGTTATTTCATGGGATTTTTTAATAACAGAGAAAATTACAGAATATATCCATTATCATCCAGTGGTGATGAGCTCAGCTGTAAAGTAAAATTTGAGTAACAGATGCACAGATTCTAGAACTTTAAATGAAGTTGCTCTAAAATGGATCTACCTGCTGCTTCCATGTGGATTTTCACCTTCGTAATGATGTACGTAAGTTTATCCATAGATATTCAATGCTGATCAATGGTTGTGTGACGGCTGCATTCTCCTGCTTTGCCCCATTCAAACAAATCTCCTTCTAGAAACCAGCAACGACAGCGAATTAATGGATCAACGTGAAGCCCAAAGCATCACCTGCATGTCGTCACCTGGTTCCTAAAACAGCACCGTGCTTTGGCAACACAGTTGAAAAATCAACTGAAAGCAGCACCATGAATGGCCTCGGTGTTTCTGTCAGGAAAACATTTGTGTAGGCGGCGCCCCTCCCTGTGGAAACACGTCAAGCACATTACTGCATTACCCAGCAACTGCACCTGGCGCGCTCTGCAAACGGCACATCCTGAAGCCAGTCACAGCCGCAAACTGTGCTGACTTTTATTTTATATTTGCAACTGCAGTGGGATTTGTCAGAAGACGTCATGATGTATTCTGGATAAAGGGTGAACTCGGTGACGACTGTGTAAAGAGACAGAGGCAGAGTCATAGTTTATGTAGTGTTTTATTGTCCTTTTGTCTTTGGGTCCCTCAGGTTTCCTTGTCTGCTGCAGTTTTAACAAGGCTCCTGTTGAGCAAAGTCAGACGGACAACACAAAATAAAAGGCAACAGATTTGTCGTTTCGTTAAACCTTTAAAGGACATTTAGGGAAATATGCATATTTATTTTTTTTAGAATTGATGCCACTCTCATGTCTGTAGGCTACTCTGAGGCGATTAGCTTAGCATAAACACTTGAAAACATGGGTTAAGGCTATATCCAGAGTTTGAAAAAAATCCACCAATCAGCACCTCTGAAGCTCACAAATTAACACCTTATATCTCCTTTATTTAGTTCATACAAAAACCCCTTTAATAAGTCACTTGAGAGGTGGTGATAGACTTATTTGTTGCCGTTTGACAGAGCAACACTAGCGGTTTCCCCCTATTTCAATTCTTTATGCTAAGCTAAGCTAACTGGCTGGAGAGTCAGTCTTATATTTAACAGACAGATATGAGATTGGTGTCAATCTGCACCTCTAAATTTTACATTTATTAATATAGACATGTCACATCTTGTTTTTTGATCCATAAACAAACTGAATTGTAAAAACAAGTTATGTCTTATTGGTTGTTACAAGCTGTAACTATTCCTCAGCTGGGAAAGTCATTGCAACCCCCCCCCCACCCACCCACAAAAATGTCAAAATATTCTTTAAACAAACAGACACTTAACGTTGTTTGCAAGTTGTTTACATTGAATGAAAATAATACAGACTCCTCACGACTATGTTTACTCCACAGCCGCTGCTCTGTAAAAACCATGTTATTTCCCACATTGTCGATGGATAATTATTACAGAGAGTTATTTTAGTGAGTCTGTCCAGCAGTTCTTCAGTGATAAGTGGAGCAGGACTCCATGAGGTGGAGCCAAGTAAAGCTATAACCCAACACCAGGCCCAAGTGGATGACCTAAACCAGTGTGTGGGCCAGCTGGGACTGTGCACACGAATCAGTATACCCTTACATGGAAGAAGCCCTCAGTGCCTCCATGCAGGAATTATTGGTATTTTGAATGTATTGTGTTTCTGTCTCATTCAGCAGGCTGGTGCAGGTTGGCTGCAGGCCTGCCGCGTCTGATGGAGGAGCCCAGAGACAGGTCGGCCGGTTCAGAGCTGAGATAGCAATTGGGGAGCCAGTCGCTGCCAGGAAAACCATGCTCACTCAGGGCCTGGCTTAGTCCTATCCATGACCTCAGCACTCGCATGTATGTTACTCCGTCATTCGGTCACAAAGTGTTCTCTACGTAAAACTTCACATGTTCCTTTTCACCTGTTATCCAGGAGTGGGTTGGATCGTCAGTGTCTGCCCAGACTAAGCAAGAGCGGTGTTAGTGTTGTCACCTGATTTTATTGTGCAATTTTGATTTAGTTTCAGTCATCTGACAAAACTGTATTTAAAAAATGTAAAGACATTTAGTCTTGTTTTGGTCAGTGAGATGCATTTTTAATGTAATTTGAAAAATCTCACTGTTTGAATAGAGACGATCACTTATTTACTTACTAAAATAGTGTCCACTGTCTGGGTTTAGCTTGAAGCTAAAACATCAGATTATATTAACATTGTTTCATTGATCGATTGATAAACATGGTTGACAGTCGACTTAAGACCCTGCACTCATTCCTACTTGTACCCTATAAACACCAAATATAACCATGACCAATATCAACCCCTGATAATGTTACGTTAGCTAATATAATGTAATCTAACATTACATAAGTTAACATAACATTTATGTCAGCTAACGTAACATTATCAGGGTTCTCAAGTTGGTGTGCTGACCTGCCTGTTTTCATGGTTTGTTCCTTCTGTTTTTGTTGCTGCTTATTTTCAATTTTTCAGCGCAATTGCAGGTGCACATAGACCATTAATGTTTTTCTTTTTCTTCCTAAGACTTGACGTTAACTTTACGTTAGCTAATGTAACAGGTCAAACAGCTAAATCAACTTTTGAAAAAGTTTTGGGCAGGGAAGCTGTTTAACCAGGCAGGAGCTATGATTCCACCAGTGCACCAAAACATTAATTCAGTTAATTCAAGTTTTAAATCTTTGATGACAATTGTGATACCTTTTATCATATGTTTTAGCGTGAAAGCTAACTATTTATTCTGTTTAGTTTCCTGTGATGGTAAAAAAAAAAGAATATTCAAAGAATGTTTTTCGTCATGGTTTTTGTTGAGATAATTAACGCAGATCAAATGTCGTTTCTGAGCAAAACCAATGTTTAAACCCAAAATTTCCATAGACCGCGATAGCTAGAGCGCGCTAGCTGTCGCGACCTGCTATATAGCACCGCTAGCAAAGAGGGAAAAGTAGCACGGAGCAGGAAAGTCTGTGGAAATATTTGATTTCAACTTTGGTTGAAGGCAAAGGTTTCATCATTCTGGGATGGGGCTTCTGGATAACGAGTAAAATGATAAATGTTTGATTTTTCCCTCCAAAGTTTGTGACTGATTTGTGGTGTTGCGTTCGGAGTGGCGAGGTCGCTAACGGGGGGCTAGCCCTGACTCTGCTCATTCACTATAAGAAACTACAGTATTTGTATCAAAAATAGCGGTTTACCAAGGCGCTAGATAGATAAGAGTGTGTAGCTGTAGACTAAGAGCTGCTTTCTTGTGCTTTGCTTGTTGAAGCTAAGTCATGCTCTGAAGTTGAAGCCAAACAGAGATACAGCCACAAAGGTCTACGTCACTGTAAAACTGAGCTTGTAGAGTAACAACCCTCTACAACACTGTAAGGTTTTTTATCTACGCCAGGCATTTTCTGTTGCTGGATAGGGCGAACTACTGTTTGCCTCATTTTCTTTTCTAGGCATCTTCTATTTGTTCAGTGCAAAATTCATGTCGTCTTCTTTTTTTGTCTTTTTTTTTTTTGGACTGTGGATTTTTGTATTTTTACAACTGTTATATGTTTTATGTAAACCAAAGAGACTCTGATAGTTTGGCCAGAAAGACAAAAAATAATGTAAATATTTCTACAATATATCAAAAAATAGTCATTAACAGAAATACATTTCTAGATAGTCACATTCTACATACTTAGAAAACATAAACAATGCTAACACTCGGACGTTCCTTTTTCTTACTCATTTTAGTGATTAGACTGATGTTTGGTCCAACACATTTGTATAAAAACCTAAAATACTGTACGATATGATGAAGTACAAAGTACCAGTCATAGCACCTTGTTAAGAATGGACAGCAGAGAGTTTGGTTGTGCTAGGCTTGTATCCCTACCTGACGAGAATCAGAGGATTTAAGCGATTTTTTTTTTTCTTTTTCTTTTTGTCTGTTTTCAGCTGTTTCATGGCTTTGTCGTTGTTCCTGGTCTTGAACAAAGCAAGATAAGTGCCCAAAGTATCAGTCCAACCATTAGACATTTTTTGTGGTTAAACTGATCATCTCAGTCCGAACATGTTGCTCCTTATAACATGACATGCCTAGTCCATTCTTGAATGACAGTATGGTTGTAGCTGTGACACCCTCAAACCTTTTACCCCCCCCCCTCAACAACCCACCCACCCCTCTCAAAGGCATTGATTAAATAATATGAACCTTAAATATGTGTAAACTATCCCTTGTAGAGTATCAGGTCCCAGATTACAAAGCAACAACATGACTCCGTCTTAAGGTTTCCATGAAATAAAGCATCACAGTTTGAATGTGTTTGTTCATACCTCCAAAAATCTGTCTCTTTTTCACTCCACTAGTGTGTTCACCAGTGTGTGTGTGTATGTGTGTGTGCGTGTGTGTGTGTGTGTGTGTATGTGCATGCTTATGTGTGTACGTGTGTGTGTTTGCAGGTTTTTTGGATGTGTGTCTGCATTTCAGTTGTTGCCCTTGAAGCAGTACACTCCGTACAGCTTGTGCTTTTTGTCGGGGAAGCCGCTGAACCTCACGGCTGCTTCTGTGGGACTGCAGCGCCGGCGGGGGCGGGAGATGGGATAACGGACACTGCCGTCAGCCAACCAGCCGGCGTCGCAGCGGTCATAGCCCAGCAGCTTCCAGGCGGCATACATCTGGCCGACCTTGGCGATCTGAGCACCATCTTTTTGACACGCCCTGACTGCCTCGTCATAGGTCAACTTAGAGGGGTGGATCAGGTAATAGAACCGACCTGGAAGAATAGAAAAAGAGGAAGATAAAATCATGAACACAAGCCACATAGCCAGAGTTAATCAGTTGTTATATAATAGTTAATTAGAACATCAATGATCTCCATCTATTTGACAATATAGAAATCCTCCTGTATGCAGACGACACTGTCACATTCACTCATAACAGATGAGATTTACATTTATGTAAACGGGAATGTCCAAATGGAAATGGTTCATCCTCTGGGGAGCGTCAATGTGCTCAGTAAAGTTTATGGAATTGTTCCCATTAGATATTGCTTCTTTTTTTTCTTTCTTTTTGTTCTTTGTGATAAAGTGTAAATCTTGATTTGCCGATGGTGCCCCAGCAAAGGTAAAGGGCTAAAACTGGTCAACAGACATTAGAATTGAAAGTGGGGCTGTGGGTAAAAACTCAGGAAGTATCTAAAATTAACATTGTTTATCCTCTTGGAAGCATGAACAAGCTCAATAAATTTAATTAAACCTGCTCACTAGATTATTGACGTTAGGATTTATCCTCTGTGAAGCATGAATTTCTCAACACTATTGACATGCAGCTTTGTCTTTCAAAATAAAAGTGTAAAATGGTAAAATAATGTTTTCCTTGTGTTTCAGAGCGACTTTCATATTGCAGTTTGCCCTGAACTGTGCAGTTTATGAAATTCAAGTGAAATTGCGATGATGGTTGATTGCTTTGACTTGTAGTAATAATCTTGTCCTCCACCTTTGTAATGGGAGGTGAAGCAGAAGACATCATAGTGGTTCTTGTCCTTGTCTCTCAGGCCGTAGTTGCGAATGCCCGGCACCGTGTTCTTGCCTCCGCAGGGTTCTCTCGGGGTGGTGATGGGATACTGCACCGAGCCGTCGTTCAGCCAGCCAGCGTTGCACCAGTCCATGCCTCCTCGCCACGCGTCATACAGCTGGTCGAAGGACGCCACGATTGAATCCTGGTCGCGACAGGCCCGCTCGGCGTCGTAGAAATTGAGGTTGTAGCGGCCAAGGCGGGGGAAGTACGGGAAAACAATACCTACATGGAGAGGCGGGAAAAAAGAAGAATAAAGAAGAGAACGCGGTGTGATAGTTGACCTGCAGTTAGAAGACAAACCTGGGATCGACCCTGTGATTTAACCTAATGGCGTCTCGTGGTGTAATCACAGCTGTTGCCCTGTCAGTCTGGTGCCGGCGCGTTTGGCTTCAGGCAGTAATGGCTGATGTCTCTGGCCACTCTCAAGCATAATGAAGCTGCTCTGACAATGATGAACACTATGCTTACAGAACACACTCGCTCCTGACATTCCCCCAAGCAGTCTCTGCTCACGGAGCTAAATTTAGTCCGACTGCAGCCCGAACATTACAACGGCATTTTATTTTTAGGCCACATCCTCATTCTTTCCGGTCGTCGTTCACCCAAATATTTTACCTTCAAGGTCAAGAGACACCACCGCCGTTCCGTCTTCCAGCCCATCAATAACTTCACATTTATATTTCCCATAATCCTCCAGGGTGATTTCTGTGATGACCAGAGAGGCGTCCATGGGAGAGGAGCCTTGCAGGTGGACCCGTCCGTGGAAACTGCCGTAGCTCCTCTTGTGGTAATCCATGGCGACGAAAACATCCACCTAGAGCAAGATGGAGAGCGGTGAGTTCATGATGCAAACATGCTAATAACTTATATTTTCACACAACCCGCATCGGATTTAAAGATTGTAGAAACAGTCTAGAACATAACCCTCAGAAAATGGCAAAATAGTTCTTTAATTGTTGAGAGAGATCAGGTTTTGTCACATGTATGTACATTAGGTTTTTTGTAGGTATATAACACATGCTTTGAGTTCTTCCATCAGCAGTAGGTGGTTATTGTAGTTGTCAGTTGTGATAAGGTGTCGGTTGTTTGAGAGTCCCGGGGCAGTAAAGCCAGTGTTCAGTGTAAATCTGTGGAGGCTGGTTTGTTGGTGTTACATTTCCTGGTAGAAATAAGGAACATTGTTCCCACGGGGACCTAATTGTTGGTTTGCTATTTTTAAATTTAACAACTATCAATCAGTGGAGAAGCGAGAAAGTGCTCGCCTTGCTTGTCCTGCACATTAAAGCCCGGTCAGCAGGAACAAGCTTTCTAACAGGAAACACACTGAAGACCCAGTTATCAAAACACTGCTCCTTCACTGCAGAACGATCCACATGATGGAAACCAGTGTGGTCTTTTAATTTAATCACATATTGACGTTTGGAAAACATTTAACGACACAGATAACGATCTATAATTAATTAAGGTGAATAGATAGGAACCTCTTTCAGGTAGTCTGAGGTCAGCTTGGTCCATTTGATCCTCATCTTGCGGTTGGGCGCCAGTGATTGGTCCCTCTGGATCTTGCATGGTAACGTGGCGTTTCCTCCTCGCCGCGACACGACTTTCGATTGTTCCGACACCACCGAGAGGCGAGGGCCATTTTCTACAACACAGAGGATCAAGTTAGAAATCCAACGTACCGTCACTCCGTCTGAGTTCTGAGAGGAAATTCAGAACATGGTTCCAGAGTACGAACGTTTGAGGGGAGTAGTTCAGTATGTGGGAAATACTCTTATTTGCTTCCTTACCAGGTTAGCATGTTAGCATGGTTAGCATAAAGGTGGTCAAAAATAATAAATACCAATCATTAATCAGCACATAACTGTCCCTCATTCTGACAGAATCTATTTACTATTCCTTTAACATCCGGTGGTTTTCAGCACCGTTGTCTCTGGGATCATGGATCGGAGCTGCTCGGCTGCTCAAGGTGAAACTAATCGATGAACGTAATCTCCACGAGCAGTTAAGTAACGACCTGCTGCCTGACGACCCCACGACCCGCTGATAAACAGCTGTGGGTTTAACAATGAACCTGCAGTCACAGTTTACATCAGTGATTCTCCAGCTCAGATCAGCTGCTTCCTCTGTTTCACCACCACAGCGTCTCTCTGTCTGTCTCTCTGTCTCTCTGTCTCTCTCTGTCTCCTCTCTGTCTCTCCTCTGTCTCTCTGTCTCTCTCTGTCTCTCGGCTCTTGTTCTTCTCCTGTCTCTCTCTGTCTCTCTCTCTGTCTCTCATTCTCTGCCTTCTCTCTGTCTCTTCTGCCTGTCTCTCCCTGTCTCCAGCGTCTCTCTTGTCCTCCTCTCTCTGTGTCTCTCTCTCTCTCTCTCTCTCTCTCTCTCTGTCTCTCTCTGTCTCTCTCTGTCTCTCTGTCTCAGTGTCTCTCTCTCTCTCTGTCTCTCTCTGTCTCTCTCTGTCTCTCTGTCTCAGTGTCTCTCTCTCTCTCTGTCTCTCTCTGTCTCTCTGTCTCTCTCTGTCTCACTGTCTCTCTGTCTGTCTCTCTGTCTCTCTGTCTGCTGCTTCAGCAGGTGAGAGACAGAGAGTCTGTCAGGTCAAACTGCCAATAACACATTGATCCTGTGTTGTGTGGGTGGTCAGAGATTGTGTTTCTTCTCCTCATCATCATCATCATCATCACTGATGATGATCATTGATCTGATGTCCGACAGCTAGTTAGTCAGCTAACTAGTTTGTCTTTTAGTTAATAGGTTAATAGGTTAGTCAGATGGGTTTTAGTTGGTCATTAGCCTTATTTTCAGCTAGTTGTTTTTAGTTAGTTAGTGGTTGTTTTATGTTGGTATTTTTAGTCTTTCAGTAGTTTTTCTTTAGTTTATGTTATTTGTTTGTAATTCATTAGTTAGTTCAGTTTCTTAGTTTTTCTTTATGTTGTGATACGTGTCCTTTTTATATTTTATTATATATATACTGTATATTTCAAAATAATGAGTTGAATTCCTGTTTTTATGTTTTTATCAGGTCCCAGGAAAAACAATAGAAAACAAAACAGAGTGATTGACTGTTTGATGATGAATCTCAGTGCGATGAAACATATTCAGCGTTCAGTGTAAAACACCTACACAACACGATTCTCTGTAGTTTTATACCTGTTCAATTATCCTGAATGTTCAGTGCACATGTGACAACAAATGTAAAGTGTTCCTCTTACGTAGTTTTCATGTGCAGGTGATAATGAGACAGATAACTGTATCAGACGGAGCTAATAATCCCCCACAGAGCAGCCTTATCACCCAGCAGCAGCAGCAGAGCTCACTGATAAACCGAGGAAACAAATGACACTGCAGAGTGAGTGTCACCAACGAAACACAGGAGCGAGACGCCAGAGGACGTCTCTGTTGATTCTGACATTGTCCCGATCCCACAGTCCCACAGAGACGCCGCGAAGAGCCGCTCACCTGTGACATAGATGGTTCTGGAGTGCTCCAGCTCCGGGTACAGAGAGTCCAGGTCGTTGGTGGCCACGCTCAGTGAAATCAAAACACAGATCAGCACGGGAATCATCTTCACTCACCGAACCGGGGGTCTGATCACTGCAGAGACACACAGAGAGGGTGGTGGTGGTGGGGGGGGGGGGGTTACAGCAGAGTACGTACAGTAGTTCTGTTCAGAACAGTGTTTCTATCTGCAGTGCTGCTTCTCCCCCCGACGGCTCCGACCAGCCTGAGCACTGAGCCACAAACACACACCTCACATCAACACAAACTTGTCCAACACTCTTCACGTAGAATTGTCCTTGATGCACAAACCGGACGTCCCATGAGGAGCTACACACATGAGCACAACACACACACACACACACACACACTCAGCAGGAGTGTGTTCTGTACGTACTGTGCAGTAGTAAATATTCTGTCATCCACCAGAGAGAGGAAGCAGCATGTCCCGATGACAGACAGCCCACAACTTCAGAGGGAGACTGTGCCACAATGCAGCGTCACCCCCCCCCCCCCCCCCCCCAACACCCACACACACACACACACACACACACACACACACACACACATGTCAGGCTTCATTCACACACACACACACACTGCAGCCCATCCTCTACACGATCATCCCAAACAGAACGGGATTCACCATCTTATTTCTACTTCAGGGACGTGTCGTATGGAGGTTCAGGGCTGCAAATAATTTAATTCAATTGTTTAATCAAATTGAAATTTAATTTTCTGTTTGCGTGCGAATGATCTTTCACAAAATTCAAATTAAAACTCGATGATCAAACTTGATCTTTCATGCTTTTTGCTTCAGATACGTTTTTGCATGTGCATGAGAAACTAAACAAAGGAGCAATAAAAATGATTTCTCCCAGAGTTAAAGAGATAAAACTGAAGCGAACACAAAGTGAACTCACAGACGTCCAAAACAAACATCTAAACAAAAGTAATTAGTGGTAAATTAAACAGTGAAATTCTGACACATTTTCATTGTCAGACAAAATAATTTAAAAATCTTTTAACCTTTATTTAACAAGGAAGTGTCTTGAGATACATTATCTCTGTGACAAGAGAGTCCGTCACATATAACACAGACCACAGGAGCTGAGAGCCACGAGAGATAAAAGGTTCATTTTTAAAACTGTTTTTTGTACGTGATGTTAAACGTCTGATTTGAAGGCAGTGTTTCATTTAAAAGATTGAGAGATTGAGATTGAGATTCATTTTAATATTGTCAACTCTGGGCTTCCATAGAGTGTATGTGTGTTTCTTTTGAGGCGTGTGTGTGTGTGTGTGTGTGTGTGTGTGTGTGTGTGAAGTAGTTATTTGGATTGATCCCTCCCCCCCTCCAATGCTTATCTTCATTCACTCCATCCCGAATTGCTGATGCGCCGGCCCCCTCTGCCAGGTGGAGCTCCTGCAGTCAGCAGTATTAACTCTGCAGCACACACACACACACACACACACACACACACACACACACACACACACACACACACACTGTGCCAGTTACACACACATCACTTAGCCTATTACCCCTCCCTGCCTGAAAATAGTCATTACGCAGGGACGAGGATGGAGGGGGGGGGGGGGAATAAGTAGGTGGAACGTGGAAAGATGTGAAATGTCCTTTTTAAAAAGGAGAAAAACTTGGAGTCAGATTGTTCGCTGCAGGACACGTGGGGAGCAGGTGATGTATGAAATGAGAATAGAGGAGAGGAGACGGAGGGAAGTGAAGACACTGAGGGGGGGGGGGCTACAGCAGAGAGGGAGGAGGAGGAGGAGGAGGAGGAGGAGGAGAGGACTCTGCAGCAGCAGAAAATGATGCAGGGGAACGAAGTTTAAAGCTCCATTAGCTCCATTAGCAGCTGCTGTTAACTGAGGACACACACTCCAGTGTTTATGACAGAGCTGCACATGGATAAGACATCTGTGTGTGTGCGTGTGTGTGTGTACGTGTACATTTGTGTGTGTGTGTGTGTGTGTGTGTCCTCCAGAGTGACAGCATTCCTCAGCCTCCATCTGTGTGGAGGGTAAACAAGGCCAAGTCTTTATAGGCCAGGTGTGTGTGTGTGTGTGTGTGTGTGTACGTCACCTGTTTGTCCTCAAACAGTGTGTTGATGGTCCAGGTGTGATGATAAATGTCAGACCCTGGATCAGTTTGTGTCTGCAGAGTCAAACGTGTCCTTTACAGTCGTCACCTGTCCGGTCAGTTTTGTCTCGGGATGTTATTGTGAGGGAGTTTCAGGTGGATCATACTGAACCTTTAAACCTGTTTAATGAGTTAGAAGCTGATTGGTGGATAACGTGTGGTGTCGGTGAATAGTTGATGAATGCATTTTAGTTTTGATGTAGCTTCACCGTTTGTCCCCTCGCCCTCTGGTTCCGCCCAGAAGAGCGTCCTGTGAAAGAGACCGTACAGCGGGACCGGCGTGGGAAGCGGTGGTAGTGACGCACTTCACCCTCTTGTGGCCGAGATGAGTATTACAAAAGCAAACACCTGAAAAATCCTGAGGAAAAAAAATTGCAGGAATTTTTTAATTCACCTGAGAAACAATATAAAAAATTATTTTGGGGGATTATTTTTCCAAAAATGTTTATTTTCTTTCCTGCCTCTCAGGGTTTGTTTATACAGATGAAAAATCAAAAAAACTTCCCACACTTCATGTTAACACAGCTGTAAATAATAAAAAGAATTTAAAAAATGTAGAAACGCTGGAGATCAGTGCGAGGGAACGTTACATCCAACAACAGCTCGTCCGCTGCAACTGTCTTGATTTAAGAGACGATTAGATAACGAGTTGACTTGCAGTGGAAACTACAGCGTCTGATTTTCACATGTGCTTAACGATGTATGACACATACTAAATATGTTTTAAAAACGTCTAATAACTTTAAACCGTATTACTTGTCTAATACTGAGATGCTTTTACACAGATTGGAAACTTCCTTCTTCACGAGTCATTTACTGTAAAATCTGATATTTGTTTTAAAAAGTGAAAGACAAAAAAAGCAAGAAAACTATATGTACATATATAAAACATATATAATCTGTTGTGAGACGTGTTATTGATGGAGGCGTTTTGCAGTTGGAGCTGAAGTAATCAATTGTCCCTCAGAGAACAGAGTGACCCCTCCCAGTCCCTGATTGTTAGAGGAGTCGCACGCCAAGTGAGTGATTGGATCTGTGAGTAGGCCAACACAAACAAACACACACACACACACACACACACATATTAATACTGCAGTGTGTGTGTGTGTGTGTGATTTTGGCAGCTGATAGTGTAAACAGAGATGGAAGAGAAGAAATACCGCGGCTCTGTTGTTACCAAATCATTTGGAGAAATTACAAATTACATCAGCAAATAAAATTTCACTGCGAGTACCTGATCTTTAGCCACGTTAGCAGCAGCGCGGATCTGGAGACGCTGATGTCGGTGAGCATTCATGACCTCCAGAGGATGAACCGCTCTGACTCTGGTGGTTTCCTGCCATCATGAGTTTGTGATGTGGTGTGGAAATCACCACACTGAGACTGAATCCAGGTCTGATCTGGATTAGAGATGATGAATGTGGTTTTTCGAGACACTTGGGAAGCTGTTTGTTTGTTTTTGTCGTGACTCAGACTTTGAGTGACGCATTTTTTGTTCGTTTGAATTTCAAATCATTGGGCAACAAAACAAGTTAACATCTGATTCAGACCAGAGCAAACAAACAGCAGCTCAGTCGACACCCAAAGCCTTGTTTTTAATGCTGACCATGTTACCATATGTGTACTTTTGTGTTTTTAAAGCTCCTCCAGTGTAAAGGTCTGTGTCCATGTGTAGTGTGATTATAGATCAGCTCTAGCTTCTATATTAATACTGTGAAAGTATCAAAGCCTCAGTCCACAGAGAAATGCACACAGCCTGTATTCAGAAACTGAGCCTTAAAACCAGCCGTCAGGACTTCTGGAACTTTGTGATGTCACAACAAAGCAGTCACCAAGCCCCGCCCACCTGGACCCACCATCCAAACCTTGCAGGATTTGGTTTCTCTGAGTGTTTTTACCTGAAATCTGCTATATTTTTATTAGATCACTCAGAAAACAGTCAGCCAATCAGAAGAGAGGCTCAGAGCCTCCTCTCTCCTCCTTCTTCTGCCTGAGAGAGGAGATGTAAAACTACACTGAGATGGTTTTTATATCTTCTGATGGATCAACACTTCAAATAAAACACAGAAGAAGAAGAAAATATGAGACATTTAAACTTAAAATATCTGAACTAATATTACATCAAGATTTTTTTGTGCATGTGTCACCGTGCTGCCATATCAGAATAACCACGAATATGCTCATATTTACACATGACGTTATGGCTGCTCTCCTGCTTCCTGCTTTTTAAGGTCAAAATTTAGGCAAAACTCAAACACACCGTGTCATTTTCTGGCAGAAAACGAACATAACAAACGTATGAATGTGTTTTCACTTCGACCACAAGGGTCTAACAAAATAAACCTGCCTCCACACCGAGGTCAAATAAACTGGACGGCAGCCGTTACCTCCACGCTCAGCCTGTACTTTCATGCTGCTTCATTAATCACTCCTTTAGTGTCCACACTTGTGTTATCATGTGAACGCTTGAGTCTGAGTGCCGGTGTGTGTATAAGAGGAAATGTATAAGATGTTTTAAGAGCTGGATCTTTAAACATCCCACATTTACAGGAGAGAAAGGAGCAAAGTGGAGCTGGCACAAACACAGGAAGTTTCCAGTCCTTGTTTGGTTCTGCTCTTTTACACAGCAGAAAAGTAATTTCACACAGTAAAGTGGTCCATTAGAGCCGTGTTTACGTGACCTTTGACCTCTACTCCAGATAATGAACACTTGGAGCAGGTTCAGACGTCTAATGGTTCAATTACCTCCTGCAACATCCACTGATTTTTAAATGGCGAAAGTCAATTTATGCGACGTGTTGGCGTTGGAAAGATGTGACTGGGAGGGGCCTAAGATACTAGAAAAACAACGAGATGCATTGTGGGAAATGTAGGATTAAGTGTTTTTAGGGCTTGACTCGTACTAAAGC